ATCTAATCTCTCTTCTGGCGTAGGCTTTCTTGATCCCCACCACGTGGTAGCTGTATCAACACCTTCATTATCTTGTGAGTTCGTTTCAAATATATCATTTTCATTTGGGGTGATTCTTCTATCCATCTTCCAACTGCGTGTATCTTCAATTAGTGTTTTACCGCCGTTGTTTATCTTAGTTTCTTTGTGAAAGGTTCTTCTACATTTACAAGGTAACCACTTTATCGTATTTGTGCTTAATTGGAAGCCACCTTCGTTTGATTCCTTATGATTGTCACTCATTATAGTTTATTATTTTTGAATGCTCAAGAACTGCCTTAGCCAATTTTAGACAAGCGGTGCAACACCTTTTAAGTTTGGTGTAATTTTTCAATTTCTTCAAGGTCCTCGAACGCTTCTAAATATTTATCGATCATGTTAGATGATATATAGTTTCTCTGCTTAAACAATGAGCGATAACATACCTTCAATTGAGCCTGTAGAGCCAAAAACATACATGAATACCAACAGTCTACTTTAGATGTTGCATATAAGCTACCGTTGAGATCAATAAGCTGTGCAAGTAGTCAAGGTGGTCAAGGTATCTTACTACAGAACCTTATCAGGAAGATATACAAAAACTGTTTTGAACGCATCTATATTTTCTCCCCGACTGCTTCGGTTGATGAAAGCTGGATTCCACTAAACCGTTGCATAACCGACCACTTCAAAGTTGACAATGAAAAAGCAGATATCTGTTTGATGATTATGATCCAACAGCATTACAAAACATCATTGCTGAACACCAAAAAGACAACAAAATCAAAAAACTGTTTTCGGTGCTTTTCGTAATTGACGATGTTGCAGAAGACCAGCGTTTTATCAACTAGTCTAAGATAATGCACGGCTTATATACAAAATCCCATCACAGTGCAATATCGGTTCTGACATCGGTTCTGAAATACAGTGCCGTGGCTCCAATACTTCATTTAAATGATAGTTCCTTATACAAATTCAAGTTAAGAAACATGCGCGAAGTATATGCCTTTATTGCAGAAAATTCTGCACTGTTGGACAAACACCGTTTGTATGATATGTATCAACAAGCGGTGAATTTTAAATTTTATTCATTTTTCTTTATAAAGCTACGATCGCAAGACATTAATGAAAATTTTTATATAAACCTAAACTGATTGAAGATGAAACTTCATAAAAAAAGGAAAGCCGAATTTCGTGAAAGCAATAGAGAGAGGTTAAGAACAGAACGGAACGCCCACTATCATAACAACAACGAACGAATTAACGCAGCTGTTAGAAATGATGGAATAGAGTGTGTTTGTGGTGGATCCTGCCGAAGTGCAAAACATAACAAGACACGAAACAACCAAGAAACACCAAGAATACCTAAACAACCAAGCCACCGAAGATCATACAGAAGAGTTCCTGCACACAACCCAAGATGATTAATGATATTCTTACAAATATTATTCGATATCATCAGAATATGGACATAGGACAGCAATGAAGAGTAGTAAAGCCAACGCACGGGCGCTTTTTTCTGAATGCATCCACTTGCTTGTCTGCCTCGTTTACTTTTTTGGAGCAAATTTTTCATTGCCTGTAAAAGTATATGAGTTTCTCATGTTTTTTGCTTTTTTGTTCGATTAGTTCCATACACACTTAATATTCATCTTCAAAATCACTCATATATATATATACATATATATTTACTAATGTACATACTCCTTTACCTTGTCCTCCACCTTTACCTTCCCATGTCGTATTTTTTTTCAAGTGTGTTACTTCTTTCATCTTTTCTTGGATGGCACTCCATAAAACGACATTCATTGTAATATAATTCAGTTGTAAATCGTCATCATCAGTATCTTTCATTGCAATCTTAGACCAGTGTTTTGGAAATTTTAAGTATGTACATCTTGAGCTATAAAACCTATTTCTCGTTCTTCTTTACCAATGCGAACATATTCTTTAGGTTAAATGTACTTAACTATATCGTAGCATGTTGTAGTGTTAATTTCCTTTTGTCGTTTTTCAGTCTCGCGGCTGATGTTTCAGTAGCAGTTCCATTAGCATGTAAACCAGTGCTTGATATTTCACATATATTAGCTCCGTTCATACTTAAGAATATTGGTACATCGGAATTTGGATCATTCGTTTTTTCTCTTTCACTTGTTGATCCAGTTGAATGTGTAATATCTAAATGTCCTACTAGAACAGCACTTGCTTCTTGAATGGATAATTCAGGCGTGCTTCCTATCGTTCGAACTGTTAAATTAATTGCTCTGTCTTTGTCTCCATTTCTAATATTTATATATATATATGTATCATAATCACTTCCGTTTAACGTTTCCTTCATACTTGATGAATGTTGATACAACATTTCACCCCATACGTTTAAGTTTGCTTCTGCTGTTGTATTGCCGATTACATTTAATGGTTGATTTACTGTTGTTGCCCTATTCAATTCATTATTATTGATGCTGGGTTGTCATGTAATTGAAGAGCGATACTTGAAGTTGTACGGTCAATGCCTCTATCTGTCTGTATTTAAAATTTAGTTTCTTCTTCTCCACAAATATTTAATGATTTACTAGCGTCTGCTCGTTGAACTAAGTTAGATTTAGTTCCTATAATTTCTGACCCTGCCACTGACAAATTCTAAATAACGATAGCTTCTTGGAACTGACTCGTTCCACCAACTGTTAAAGAGTCTCCTGTAACACTGTTTGCACTTCCTATTCTCACTTTGTTATCTCCGTTCGGTGTGTCTTGTAGTACCATTTCTGTTCTGTGCGTGCCTGGTGTAGAAGCATCGAAACAGTTGAAAGTTCTGTTCCGAAATTCAAACGCTCCTTGATTACTGTATCTCTTACTCTTAAGGTATAATTCGAATCATCTGATGGTCTGTAAATGTCGCTTCCTGCAACTTTCGTGTCTAGATCGCCGATTAAATCTGATCTTGTTGCTATTCTTGCGATATCAAAATTAGATGTTCCGCCGACGTTTAAAAACTAACTTGCGTTGGGTGTCGCTATTATTCCTACTTGTGCTGTTGATGCTGTCCCTAGTCTTACCTGCCCCTGTTCGAAACTTTGTATTTCCATAAGCGTATCTAAATTTCATTACTGACATTTCTACATGTTAAAATTCTGTTTCTAAATTCCCATATTCCTTGTAAATCTCGTATTCCTATATTACATGAAGGAATACCACTTGGTCTATACAAATCAGCGCCAATGGCGGGTAATGTAAGATTACCGAATTCAATATTTCCTGCTGGATTTGATCTTAAGTTTGCTACGTTGTCATCACTTGTAGCAGTACAATTTCTTTTGTTTCCCTTCATTGTTATGTATATAATTGGGTTGATTTTTAAGCACTGCGACATCTCTGTCTGTTTCTGCTCCGAACTGGTTTGAAAAGGTAACCCCAGCTAGCGGTTCAACATTAACTACTTTATTCTTTTATGTGAATCCTTGGTGTAGTATTGTGGGTGGTGAAATGTCAACAATGGGTGTAAAACGGTTTTTATAGGTAAATGTTGATTTGTTTCCTTTTTCATGATGAAGAACTATCAATTTGTGTATCTGTGTATCGCGATTCCCCACCAGCCGGCAATCAAACCATCCACTTCGGTCTTCGTGTAAACATTCTTATTAACATAAGCTTGTTTATAAAATCCTGAATCAATAACCGCTGACGTATAATAACTTCCTAGTGTGGTGTCCATTCCTGTTGATGTATAAGATTGTCCCATTGTTGTATCGATTTTTGTTTAGTTATAAACACTTGTTGTTAATTGGGTAGTTGTCTGGTAATTGTTAGTTAAATTCTTATCTATATATATATACACATATTTTTCTTTATATATCAGTAATACCCGCGAAATTTTGTATTCGCTTTGTGTTCAACACTGATATATCGTTTGTATGAGTTGCCATATCCGTTGAGTTTGCATCTAATAATGTTATGTGAGATGCTAATGTATTGTTACACGCTAAGTCTTTGGAGAATTCAATTGCCCAGCTGTCATCTAATGCATTTTGTGCAATGCCGCCACTATTTGCATTGACATAATTTATTGTGTCGTATAAATCACGCAAAGTAGCTTCACTTGAAACAATATTTTCTGCTGGTACAGTATTTGTATTTTTAATGCTAATGTCATTCTTAAATTAATCCAGAAATTAATATAAGAATGCTAAGTTAATTTTCTTGATGTTTGTATAGATATGATTGATGTTTTTTTACTTGTGAAGTGTGATGCTTTATTACTATTTACATAATGTCCTGTGCGTTCGCATTCGTGCTTTATTGATTTCCACGGTTTATGTCTTTCGTAAGCACTTTTTGGGTCTTTCCAATGCTGTTTTCTTGCATCTTCATGTACTTTTTCTCTGTTATGTTCTTTCCACTTCTCTTTTACTCCATACCTTTCAATGTTGTCTTGATAATACTGTCCAAAATATTCTTTCATATCTCGATGCCCTGTCTTGTTATTTAGTGTGCCTAGTTCTCTTGTTATTTCCCCTTCCCTTTTGCACACTGAATTACAAGGAAAGTTGTCAACAAGTTAAAAATGCAAATGTTTTATACCCGCTTCGTGCATAAATGTATAAAAGAATGAACATCAGGTTGTGTTTTCGCGTGGCATCTATGTTTTACCAGTCGCTGTTGTTCAGCCTATGTAATCATCATCTGTAATGTCATTTCCAACAGCATACATTTTACCACATTGACACTTATTTATATTAATCATATATTGATATGAATAAGGATGTCTTTAGATCTTTTTTGCACTTTTTTAACGAACACCTTCAGCGGGAGGTGAGATCTTAAGATAGATTTTTATCCTGGGGTGTGGGTGGGTGGTGCCATACGCCTAAATAGGCAAGGTATGTTCTAACCGTTTACACATCGGTTCTCGAGGAAATCAGATGACCAAACCCGGAGACCCAGCTCAAAGAACCATCCGCCGACTCCTATGAACTACGAACCAGGGAAGTTCCTTGACGTCGTCGGGCCCATGAAAGCCGCCGATCACAAGCCTCCTGGTCGCAAGATGTCGCAAGCGTTCAACACCTGCGCCGTCCTTTTTTTTTCAGAGCTGAAGCTGCAAGACCCAGCAGGTAACCGATGTCAGTCGTAGAACCATCCTCGACACATTCCAGGCTAGTCACCGAAGCCCTCAAGTTCGACAAGCTTGTCTTCAGCTCCGCTGAGGAAGCACTCAAGCAGTATGTGCCGGGCTCAGATCGGCGTGACACGGCTCTCTGCCTTTTTGAGCGCGCTACAGGGCTACAGGGACGTGTGTAGGATGCTCGGGGGCCTAAGGCAGTACCCAGTGTTGGCAGGTCGAGGACGGAGTGGCAGGCTCTGCGGAGCAACGCCAGGCCACGGGCTTTAGTCCGGATTTTCTCGCCGTACGCCGTACCTTTACCCGCGGCATGGTGAGTCGCATCCTCAATGCAGATTTGCCGGTCGGAAGGGACCTGGTGCAGCAAGTGCACATTAGTGAGGAGCAGTAGGTCCTTATCACTGCCAGCTCCAAGCACACGAGCAGAAATGCGGAAGCACTACCTGCCGCAGATTGACCAACAGTTCGCTAGATGGGGTTCGGCTCCAAAGGTTGTTTGTCGAGCGTTTTGTCATAGAGCGGATGCATGTCGTCGAGCGTGCAAACTACTCGACCAACACTTGTCCTGTGGCAGAGGTTCGGAAGCATGTCGGTACTGTGGGCCGTAAACGCTCATGGCAGCTGAATCGGAGGTGGTCCCGTAACCAATGGCAGATGGTCGGCAGATGTACAATCTAGTGCAGGAGGAAGAAGCACCGCCCACCATGTACAGCCAGCGTGCAGGAACATTCATTGAAGAATTCGAGCCTCACAGAACGGCTGTTAGCAGCTCTGCCAGTCTGCGGCGACCCTGCTCGGTGTCCTCCAAGTCCAAGCAGGCGCACGACCCTGGCAAGCCGGGGCCACAGCCCAAAACAGTGAGGGGGTAACTGGGTCGAAACGGCGTTCTTGGGTTGTCCTCGTATCCATGGAATGTTGCACCAGGTGACAGCAGCACGGCGGTTGATCACCGATGCAGGTCCCCGGCATGTTCTGCAGCAGATGTTGCGTCTGCAGCTGTTTTCTGTGCGATTTCCGTGACGTGACGGGTGATGACATAATGTAGAGTTCCCCATGCCTACTTCTAGAATATGGGCTTCCCACACTCATCCGTTGCGGCAAATGCAATGCAGCAGCTCATGAATGTGCAGATCAGACTTCACTTGCACTCACAAACTGACATGTGTTCAGCACAAACTAGCGCGTTTTTCGTACAAACTTGTCCTGAGTACAGCGTGCGGAGAAGAGGGCTCTTCAGTATTCCAGATTCCGGAAGAATGCTCAACCACGCTCAATAACGTGTAAGTAAAAGCAGCCACAGGCGGCTCTTGAAGGCAACTCTCGATGCATGCTCGCCTCAGGTGCGCAGGGCGAAGTGTTCGAGTGGATGCTAGAGCATGCAGTGTGCTGGTGGCCCGACCTTTTTGCCTCTCAACCGGAGAAGCTTCAGGACTCGAAGCACTTTTCGTTGACGCTCTGCCGGCCTGGCTTCCAGTGGTTTCGCAACGTGGGCTTCAGGGTTGAGCTCGCTAGGCCGCCAGACCAAGAAGACGAGATTCCGACGGAAGGTCCTGTAAGGCATTCTAGAATCCCATCTGATGTGTCGCCTGCCGGCCGAATCCTTCAACAATTGAGAATTCAGACGGCCTCACCCCATGCCAAGACGAAGCAGTCCACTTGCAAGCCGGATGGAATTTGCTGAGCTGCTGGGCCTACGTGTTCAAAGGTGTAAATGCAGGCCGTAGTCTTATTGAGTGCGTTCCAGCAGGGGTCCGCAAGAACCCAGCAGGACTTCGTGCAATGTGTGCAGACCAGCTACGGCGCCTCGTGTTCCCGAGGCGACCGGGTGCAAGAAACGTGTTTGTGCTTAAGCCTCATTGCCCGCTCCGCAATGCTTTGCACTCTCACGTAAACGAAAGACCAGTATCGCTGCAGAGGTGATCTCCTTCGGCGACAGCTGCTCGTGGCTTGGGCGGCCGAGGATGCTTCCGTCTCCATTCAGGCGTGCTTGACTTTTAATTTGATCCGCTGGCCGGTCTTTACAGATGGTCGTTGCTTCCCCTGGAGGTGCCCAGAGAGGCTTCTGAACAGGAGCCCTGGGCCTTCCGAGCCTGGGTGGGCAAGTTGGAGTCCTGGGTGCCTGTTTGGGGCTGGGACCTGGATGCAAGGAGGCCACTGCCTCGGCTCGTGTAAAGGCTGTTCTGCAAGAAAGCGTTTTGGGTTTTGTCAGGCCTTCAAAGCAGGAAGCTCCAGGTCACCCAAACACTTACTATTAGCAAAAATTGGTGTTTTTGGTATCACATTCGGTGCAGCCCGCGTTACACTTCCTGCGCAGCTAACGCCTCAGGCTCAGGACGACGACCGAAAGCTTCAGCTTCGAGCGCTCTTCCATCGACCCTTTGCCTCGGCGCGGCGCCCACGTGGACGCCCGGCAGGACTGCTGGCACCCTCCGACAGAGACTTTCGGGAGGCGTTCTGGCTGCGAGGAGAGGCCAAAGGAAACAGAGTCGGAGCCGTACGACATTGCTTACCTCCTCCCCTTCTTTGCTGGCCAGCTGCGTGCGGCCTTCATGCAGAGCTCGGCTCTCGGCCGGGAGTCGCCGAGTCTCAGTTCCCTCCGGTCCGGTCCTGTTCTGACCTGTCTGTCACAAGGCGGAGACGCCGGAGCCTCCAAGGCCGCCTGGGGCCCGGCGCTGGGCGCCCTGATGTGCGGAGGAGCGCTGGAGCTGCGTCTGGGCTGAAAAATGCAGGACTAGCTGTGACTTTTCGGATCTTTCTTGGCCTTTGACTGCACGAATCCAGATTCAAGGGACAGACGTTAACCGGGCCTAGGCTATCGCATTGCTCAAACTGTTTGCTGGAGCTTGCAGGTTCTTGTGGCAAGAGTTTAGAGGTAAGCGAGTCTTCTGCTCGCTCGTCAGGGTTAACTACTAATGAGTAGCAACAACACGAAAGCAAATCCACACACCCCTGATTCGACCGCTCGTCTGCAGGCCGACAAGACTAGAGCCATGCGGAGCTAAGCCGCTAAGCTAGATGACCAAAGCCCGCCCGGAAAACAGCACACAGGCAACATCAGGCCACTTCAAGCATTAAACCCTTCCTCAGGCTTTTGCTGGGCCTCGCCTGTCTGGGGGCTCGGCACAAGGGGCTTGGAGCAGTTCTGAGGTGTCGGGAGTGCTGTGCTTCGTGTCATTTGCCGAAGGCTGCGACACCCTCCTCCGTGCCTGCGCTTTTGAGGCCGACGTTGTGCATCGCTGTTCGGTGTTGAGATGTGACTTCAGGTAGACGCACCGCCCAAAGACAGAGCTTCACCAGATGCTGACAGTCTCTTTGAGTTTCACTGGAAATGCTACGTAACACCCAAGCGCCTTAAAACGCCAACAGAAGATATCGGTTTTGCGCTTGTCGCGCGAGCATCTTGCACCCTAGGCCCTAGGAAAGTCTCTTGACCAGGGATGTCTTCTTAGTGTCAGAGCGTTTCGCATAGCATCTGATGCTGTTTGTAGGACAAGGTTGTTCACTGCTGATGCTCAGCAATAATTACCCCGGACACACTCGGCAGCGGCCAAGCTGATTAAGGCCTTGTCCGTTGTCACGGCCATGGCCCAAGCCTGGAACATCAGCCTGGAAGAGGTGGAGAAGGCTCCGCTGAAGGATCCAACACTTATTCTCTGGCTGGGGAAGGTTTGAGATACCGACAATGTGTCGCCCATCGATACCGTGTGAGCTGAAACATGTATCCGACGATGGAAGAGCTGCAAGCGTCCTCAAGTGGTGAACTCAAACAAAGCTGCAAAATGAGGTACAAGGTAGGTATATGGTTCTTTTTTCCTAAACCAAAGTGTGTTTAGGTCTGGTTCTCTCTGTGTGTTCTTTCAGCATCAGTCACGGACCCGAAGGCATCGCGCGAGCGGCTGCCATTCCGTGAGCTTCCAGAGCTGGCCTGCAGCCTAAGAGCCTATAAGCCATGCGCCTAAGCCTACGCGCCGGTACTAACCCGCGCGGGCGCGCGGGGGGTTTTTCGCTCCAGCTGAGAGCCGAGTCTTCGACGAAGGCTCGCCTTCTCTGCTACGTGCGGGATGCTGTTGGCCCTGAGAAGGCCGGGCCCCTCTGAGCGTCGAATCTTGTGATATCTTGTGGCATCTTGTGGCATGTGGCTTGTTTCTGGCCTTTTCAGGCTAGCAGACTTTATCAAGCTCGGGCTGTGCAGGTTCCTAAAACATCCCAATCTCTCGAGTAGTAGAATTCATCAGAGCTCAATTGTTCAAGCCGGGGCCGGAACTGTGTCGTATCGTGGGACGTTTGTGTGCGGTCTTCGTACGCATCGTACGCGATACATGGCCTCGAACACCCCTCTGACATCCTCTGACTGTAATTACAGGTGTTGCAAGGTGTTGCATTGCGGTCGAAAGGTTCAGCTGCCAGGATTTCAGGAATGTTGAAGCTTGGGAACTATCTTTGCGCACGCGGGAAAGCGCACGCGGGAAAGCGCACGAACATGGAAATAGCTGTAGCCGCTGTGCCCCTTGCTTACTGCGAGGATGGCATCCCAGGCCCCGTTCCACGCCTGAGTGCTTCCTTCCTGGCAGCCTGCGCGTTTGGGGCTCGGAAGAATGAAGCGAGCATTTGGGCTGCGAAGTCCGCGTCGCAAATGTGGCTCAGCTCAAGCACGTGGATGCACGCGGGATCAGTAGGCGACAGGCAAGCTTGTCGTGATCAAGCAGGCAAGAGGTGCGGGGACAGGTGATAGGGGATGTGCGAGTTCGCCGCCACCTTGGTACTGAACTCGGGAGTTCAATGCTGAGTGAGACGAGACCTTCAACAGCAAGCCTCGGAGTGGACCCACCAGGACGATCTGTTCGTTGCTATATATAGCGACGGTTGGCAGTATAGCGACGACAGCCTGTATGATGACGTTTCGTCTTGGTCGAGCCAGTACGACTTTGAGCCAAAAATGTTAGTGTCTCTTTCTTTCTCTCTCAGTCTACTATATTATAATATATATATATATATATATATTGATATATATATATATATATATATATTCCGACCGCACGAAGTTGGAAACCCTGAGTTTGATTGTTCGTGGTTCTCGGGTTGGGGTGATATATATATATATATATATATATATAAGGTTGCAACAAAATGCGATTGACGATCGCCGCCTGTTTTCACGGCTCCCGGAAGCGGAGCGAAAACTGCAGTGCCCATTTCAAAAGGACATGCCTGCTCACAAAATTGGGGTGACTAGCGACCGCAAGCTGCTTGATCCGCCGCACGGCATCCTCGCCCATGTAGTTCGCGCTGTAGCGAGGGTTTTGTCTCAGAACTTAGGTTTAGCTGCACATATGTTAGCAGCTAACACTAAAGAGAAGGCTCTTCGTAGAAATACCCTAAAATATCTGACTCGACTCCAGAGCCAGACTTTTGGGCCCCAAACCCCAAACCTTCAAATCTAAGACTCTGTCAGCCTATAATCTTTGGGTTAAATGGCAATTCAAAATCCTAGCACGAATGAAGACCTTGCCGGGAACCATTGTTTCGAGCCACGAGAACCTTAGCTAAGTTAAAGCCAACCAGTAGAAATAACCCAACACCTAAGTTCCCCCGAGCCACTAGGAATACCCATGCAAGTACCTTTAATTAACCCCAGAAAGAAAGCCTCGAAGCTTCCATCAGACATTTCGGAACATGCCAGATTCCGGGATCCATATATGTAGTCGACAACCCTGCCGGGAACCAGTCTTTCGAGCTATGAGAACTGACTAAATATAATAAGCAAACCCGAAGCACCAGAAATACCTCAAACACCCAGCCACGAAATACCTAAATACCTCAGTTAACCCCAACAAGCCCCGAAGGTTCCGATCTTCCAAAAAGCACGAACAGCTGAAAAGTTTGAACCGGCCGTGCCTCGGCCTGCGTCTTCTTGCTTCCTTTCTTTTCAACCTACGGGATGAATTCTGAAGCAGGGGTAAGTAAGGTCTGCTTTTAATAAGAGACTTTGCCTTTTCCTCTTCCTCCTCCTCCTCCTCAGGCTCCTGTCGGGAATGGCGGGAACAAACACACATATCAGAAGGTCAGCATCGGGTTTTGTGTTTGAGTGGCAATCCTCGGTGGCTGTGATCGGAGCCCGTGCCTCTTCTGGCTGCGGCACCTGTCGAGCATGCAGGGCTCAATATTAGGATCGGGTCTCGGGTTTGATTGGTGATCTGTAGTACTTTTCGAAGATTCAGCAGAACCGATGACACAGTCAGATCTGGACAGTGCCCCAGGGATAGTTTATGGAAACCCGGGTGCCGGTAGAAGGGGGGATTAGGATCAGAGTGTTTGGGTGTTCAGAAACCATAGAAAATGGTCGTTAGGAACAGCTGCGTACTACGGGCAGGTAGGGTCAGCTTCAGCTTAATTGCATCAATTCGTAGTGTTATTGTCCACCTTTCCGAATACTTGCTTGGGGAGCCTGCAGTGCGACTTATTCGATGCTCAAATGATATTTCTCGTGGAGGCTGGAGTTCGCTCGAGTTTGGGAAGGTTCGAAATTTGGGACGATACATACAGATTATGATGGTAATGTGGAAGTATATAGACAAAACTCAGAGTCGAGCCTCCTTGTTGGCACCGGTGCTTTCATCGGCATCCCAGACCTGAGCCAGGACTGGTTCGGGTATTGGGGCACAGCCATATCTGTCGCTTGAGGCTTGTCCTGGGGCTTCGGCAAGAGGGGATTCCTAGCATGTGCAGTAGCAAACGGCGAAAGGAGCGGCACAAGCCAAAACCTCATCTTGGTAGCCTTCTGAGGGCCTCCCATCACTGCAACGAAACGAAGATCGTGAGTTTATGTTGACCAAAGGTTTCAGCACGGTCCTTGGCCCACCATTGCTCATCATCGAGCTCGTCTTGGCCCGTCTTGTCCTGTGTCGGTAAAACTTGAACATGAAAGTTAATCGACTCTAAATTGGAGCTGCCTCCGGTCACTCATCATTCGGCGCTTTGGGCTCCTAGCAAAACAAGCGGAAAAATCGGATCTGGGGCCATGGAGTATAGTTGTGTGGGTCCTCTGGGATCGTGCCCATGTCTTCAGCTTCAGCTTCGTCCTATCAGAAACAATGACGGTTCAAAAGCCTGACACAGAAGCACATATCAGCAAAGTCCTGGTCCCATTCATCTTCGGGACCCGGCACATCTTCTTCTTCTTCTTCCCAGTCCTGTTGTGGTCATTGATCCGGAAGTCTGAAGATGCAACTGAATTGCAAAATCCTCGCCCAAGTCTTCTTCGAGCTCCATTGCGTGATCATCCGGCTCATCCTATCGCAAAACCGAAGCAATCAAAAGGAACACATGCAGTGAGAAATAGTCCTCAGCCCATTCTTCTTCATGCGGTCCATTGTGGGCTTCGGCTGGGTCCTGTCGTTGCAAACCATACCACAATTTTCAACTTGAAACGAAAGGATCCCTGTCCTCAGGCCAGTCTTCATTCTCCTTCGGAACTTCCTGCCGTGGCCAATGAATGGCGAAAAATGAAATACAAATGGACATTTACCCCTCGGTTTTATCGGCCTCTGCTGGCTCTTTCCATTCTTCATCCCAGGCCTGGACCACTGGCATGCTAGCATGACATGAAAAACTGGAGTCGGTCCTGGTCCCATGTTTCTTGTTCTTGTCCTTCTTGCCAATCATCGCCATCGTCCTGCAGAGGTGAAATCACACACTTAAGCCTCAATCGAGCCTTGAATTCTGTATATCCTGACCTAACCCCTCAGTCCTACTATCAACTCATTCCAAAATGCACTCCGCTATAATCCCAAATCCGTTAACACCCTATTAAAACCACTGATGCTGAATTCCCAGAACTTGAAAGGTAACGAAGACAGCCTCGGCTTCAGCATCTTGCCAATCATCGGCATTTTCTTCATGGTGCTCCTGCATGATTGCCACTTCACCCCAACCAATTGGGAATGTCTTAAGCAAGACTCCTCCCAGTCCGCAGTTCCCGAGCCCATGGATAATGTCCTCACCTGTGCACAAGCACCAACCGAATCACAGGGATTATATAGGGTTGGAGGATTAGCACCATTTGAAATCAGAAGTGGCACGTCTTTCCCCGCAATCTCGTCAAGGGTGGCCCAGCAGCCTCAGATTCGATCTAAACCAAGCTTGGCGTGAACGACTATGATATGGTGCCGAGGGTCTTGAGCCAAAGCAGAGCTTTCGCCATCTTCGATGGGAGACTCAAAACACACAGTCTCCAGCCGATGTTCCGACTTCCTAGGCGATGCATGGTAGAATTGCAGCCCGAAAGCTTTCCCTTCATCATCCTGTTCCCCTTCCTCAGCGTCATCGGCGTCCTTCCAGGAGGGCGTGGGGCTCGAAAGTTATAATATATATATATATATATATATATATATTCAAAAGGATGCACCAGAGTGTAGATGTGTATTTGTTTATTTCGTTTAATAATTGATTGTAACTGTTTGATATTACCAGTATTCCCTCTCTATCTCTTTCTTTCTCTCTCTCTCTGATAGTGAATCTCTATTTCCCTAAACCCAATCTGTTTATAGATTTCTCTTTGATCCTATCTCACATCTGTCACCCCTGCTTGTCACTCGTCTAGGAATTCCCGGCGGTCCTGGATCACTTGGGTTTCTTCGCCGTCCATGGCGAGCGACCGGCGGGCTTTTCGGAGAAGTTCTTGCAACAGCATACTTTCTTGTTCTACCCAAGCTTTAAACGACAGGCCTGGAACCCCAGGAAGTAGCAATTTATATCGCTTAAACATCGAACGAAGGGCTTCCGAAACTGTCGCAAGGTGAAAAACCGGTTGTTATGAACATCCTGAACCCACCGAAAGAGCTTTCGATTTCGCTGAAACCTGAAGTGGAATACCTTGGTCACCCTTCCAGTCCTTTGCAAGTGCTGCACGCCCAGCTGTCGATACAGGTTCTCACAGATCAGCTGTGCTTTCACGGCTAATGCCGGGGATCCCCGGGGCATGGTATTCCAATGATAAGGATCGAATGAGCAGCAGTATCCATTATTATTGTTATGCACGATTTCGGGTATCAGCAGTGGCCCTCCAGAGCATCCCCGGCAGTTCTACGGAAAACCTCGAACCCAAAATGTCAAGCGATGGCGGCTATAACGGTTATACGAGAACTCAAATATCAAGGTCTTGCTAAAATCTGAAGCTTGTCGAAGGCATCCCACTCGGATCCGAAGCTCCTGGTTGCCGCACAGGATTAATCAAAAGAACGAGTGCTACCTGAAGAAATGCGCATGCCAAATCTCAAACAGATCAACCATTAACTCCAATCGCACGACCTTGCAATGTTTCGGGTTTATACAGGGCAGAGGTCTGTACTATGGCCGGGCTGGCTATATATATATATATATATATATATGTATATATGTATATATATATATATATACATATATTCAACACGGGACACTGTGAGAGTGCGCTTTTTGCGTGTTTTACGTGCTCCCAGACGCACCAAATACAGTTAGGAGTCACGCAAGCTGTACAACCCAGACGCCCGCAACAAAGAGCCAAATACATTTGGAAAAAACATCACGAAGCCCATAAACCCCAGAAACACCCAAGCAACCGAAACCGCCACAGAAACCAAAAAAAAATGAAAAAAAAACAAAGAAACAAAAAAAAAACCATTCCTTGGGACTCCTAGATTTGGCGCTCTGTGGCGGGAGAGTACCGAAATATTTTGTTTTTGTTTTTTTTGTTCT